AGCGGGTGTGGATGAAGCAAATGTGTCCTTCCGTGCTAATCCTCCCGGCCCACTCGCCCCCAGGCCCATTTTACAGACAGAAGACTAAGGCTTGGAGAAAAAGAATCTAGCCAGCCAGTGGCGACGTCTGACCAGTGTGACCTTGAAGCTCCCACCCTGATGGATGTTATTTAGAGATCTAACTACAGGGTCCCAGCCAAAGTTATCACAAGCGGTGGCAGAGGGGATGTCTTGGAGTCTCTTGGCAACTGTCACAAAATATGTGCCTGGTGGAATCAACGCTGGGGAAGTCCATCCGCCCTCTCTGTGCCGTCCGGTTCTGGGGGGAGGGTGGGCGGAGGGTCCCCTGCTCCGCGCAGCCTGCTGGAGGTGGGTGCAGAACTGTGTGGTGAAGTAATGGGAGGCGCTTTGCAGGCGTGAAGGAAGGAGCTGATTTTTAATTGCACAGGGTTAAATCCAGCCCGGGGTGCGCTCTCCCGGGTCCCTGCGGTGTCCACGCGTCCACGCGTGTGCAATGGGACTCGTGTCCCCCGCAGCCCGTAAGAAGCGGTTAATAAATCAGGGAGGCTCTGCAGGGGCTGCAGGACCCGCCCCCCTTTGCCCCCCCCCTTTAATTGAAGCCCCCGATGAGAGCGCAGGGTGAAGGAGGCGCGGGCTCCCCGAGAACAGGGCTTGCACAGTCCTCCGGCTCGCGCTGCCAGCAGTTTTGGGAAAAGCAAAACAAAACAGAAACCCCCAACTCGCTAGCACCCTGCCACCTGCTTCCGTGAAAAGCCCATTCAGGCGGCGGCGGGACCGCGCTCTGGGGTGTTCGTTAGCGCGCAGGCCAAGGGAGCCTGCTGGCTGAAGATTTCAATCTTCCCTTGTAACGTTTTACAACCCAGACCCAGTGACAATGGCGTCATTCAGGGTACCCGCTCACGTGGAGCAGAATGTGAAGGGGGGGTGCTGGTCTGCGGTGTCGATACCCAGGGAGAGTCCAGGGAGGGACTGGGGACCTGGATCAGCGCTGGTCCGTGGGATTTGGGTGCAGCTGGTTGACACATAGAGGGCTGGGAATTGACACGGGTGAACCCAACTTTCCACTCACATAGAAGGAACCAGCGGGTGTAGCCGGTCTCCAGCTGCCTTATCACGGAGGGCTTGTGCAGCAGGGTGGTTGTGTTTGGCACACAGTTGGTGTGTGCAAGCAGGGTTACTTTATTATCAAGTGTAAGTGAGTTGGCAGGTGACGTTCTGCTTTCCCTTGCCCAGCTGTGTGATTGCTGAACCTCTCTGAGCTTGCATTTCCTTATCTCTCAAGTAAGCTTAACCATATGCATGGAATGAGGTTCTTTCCAGGATCAGATGAGGGAAAGCACTTAAGTCCAGCAGTCGAAGCTTCTGAAGGAGCAGGAAGGAGACAGTAGTGTCAATGATGTGAAACTGTCCCTGGGGCTGCCTGTGTCCCCAGACCCACTAAGACTTTTTGACTCCCCATTTAATTCTCCGTGCGCTTGCTTCTGCGCGGATGCTCTGAAGCCATAGAGGTGCATGGCTTATCTTCCATCCCAAGGTCTTGAGAGGTTTCCGCTGTTCTGGTGCTAACGTGGTCCCTTGGACTTGTCCATCGATGGACCCGGCCAAAATCCCTTCACTCCTGTCCCTTGGGATATTTCCTTCCCTTTGCTTCTATCATCAACTCCAGGCTGCCATTTTGACATCTGCCACGTGAACTTGGAACAACTGCACTGTAGGCATTTGAGAAAGACGCTCTTGATTGACAGGTGGGATGATGTTTCAAGCTCCTTAGAGGGGAGCAAGCTGCTAGGGGCAAGTGGTTGCCATGCGACCTCCTCTCTCACTTCTGGGAGTGTTCGTAATCAAAAGCAGGGTTTGGCCGTTCCAGAGAGGGGATTTGCCATTTGGTAGCATTGGACTGGAGAAGTCCACGGTATCCATTGATACATTCTCTTGTAAATTCCCTCAGCCAACATAGTCCCCCCCCCCGCACCCCGGGGTTATTTTCTTTAATTAAAAAAAAAACCATCCTCATTAGAAATATGAAACCCAAAGAGATTTCCCTCCTTCCTCTTGGAGCCCTGACAGCCCAGCACTTGACCTCAGCTCACCCAGATAGAATTGCCCTCGAGATTTGACAACTTTTGTAGTGTTTTATTATGAGGGTAATTTTTCTTCTTCTTCTTCTTCTTTTTCCATTACATAGCTGAAACCACAAAGCCAGGGCTAGAAAGCTAATTTCATTCCTTTTAGCCTCTTGGCCCCCCTGGCTGGATGCTGACGAGTGGCCGCTCAGGATGGCTCCAACTTCGGTTCTGTGATGGCACAAGCCCACCCGGGAAGCTCAGCTGGGAGACCCCTGGGTGTCGTGAGGAGCCTGTTGTCTCATGGAAACTTGGAAGGCTCACTCGTGTTCCCGCCTGGATGCTCTGAGCTTTCCCATGACAAACAAAGGCACGGGCACAGGGCGGGCATGGTGACAACCCCCAGGGGCAGGAGCAGGGAGCCTGGAGCCCTGAACTCCTCCCTGGAAGCTTTAAATACTGAAAGAAGTAATTAGGAGACCCTAGAGAAATTCTCAGGGGGCGACTGGGTTGGAATGCTGGTTGTGTCTGCCATTAGCTCTGTGACCTTGGACAAAGTGTCTCATCTTCCTGGGCCTCGGTTTTCGATTCTATGATACGGGACAGAAATGAGACGAGCTTCACAGGATTGCAGCACGAAATGGGCTCCACACCACCCTAGGGAATGTTTTCTGTGTAGGTCTTTACACATGAGGCCATGTCAAGTGTACTCTTCAATTTTAATTAAAGGAAGCATTTGTTATAATTGCATTAGAGGAACTGTAAGTACCATAAGCCCATAATTTAATTTCACAGATATCAATTGCTTATAGTAAGTCTAAACTTTGAATGTAAGTTGATTTAATGATTTTTTTTATTTGGTACTGGAGATGGAACCCAGGGCTGCCACTAAGCTATGCCCCAGTCCTTTTTATTTTTCATTTTAAGAAAGGGTCCTGCCAAGTTGCTGAGGCTGGCCTCAAACTTGTGATCCTCCTGCCTCAGCCTCTTGAGTCACTGGGATGACAGGCATGTGCCACTCTGCCCAGCAAAAAATTAATTTAAAAAATGTTTTAGTTGAACAATGTCTGGTTTGAGGTCGTGGCAAACATCGTGATTGACTGAGGATTGGGATTTCCTGAGGTGAACTCCTGGGGCAGACTTCTTAACCTGCTCAATGCCATGGGCCTTGGAGATGGTTTCTTAGGATGATGCAGTTAAGTGCACAGAATAAAACACACAGGTTGCAAAGGAAGCCAATTATGTTGAAATACAGCTGTCAAAATATTTTTGAGTGTTGATATAGGAATATATGCACATTATAAATGCTCTGCCTAGATGCTGGTAGACCCTAGTCCCTGTGAGTGTGAGAACGTGGGGGGTCAAGATGTTTTCTTTTTACACACTTGGATGATTCTCTCCATTGTCTTTTTTTTTTTTCCTCTTGGTACTGGGGATTGTATCCAGGGGTGCTTAACCACTGAGCCACATCCCCAGCCCTTTTTTTTATATTTTATTTAGAGACAGGGTCTCGCTGAGTTGCTTAGGGCCTCACTTTTGCTGAGGCTGGCTTTGAACTCGTGATCCTCCTGCCTCAGCCTCCTGAGCTTCTGGGATCACGGGCATGTTCCCTATTGTCTTTTAACTTAATTTTTAAAAACATATTTGACACACGTTTATATGATGGTATGGACACAGTATGATATATTTCAAAACAACTAGAAAAGAAGCATAGGAAGAATCTGTGTCTCCTTTGTCTGCCCCCTCCTCCCACCTCTCCTGCAACCCACCTCCCCAATCCATCCCCCACTTGCTTCGTTCCCCACAAGGCTCCTGGTGTTGCTTAGCACCCCCTCTTCCTTCCCAGAGGGGATGTTTATTGAAGTTTCCTAGGGACATGCCTGATTGGAAGGCTGGAGGTGGGGGAAGATGGAGGGCCGGGTTTGAGTAACTTGCAGGATGCTGTACATATAATGTCACTAGGTTTTTATTACATTCAGCTTCATGTGGATACTGGTGTCTCGCAGGGTGTCCAGTCCATGAGTGACTCAGAAGACACCTGGATCTAACTCCATCTCATCCTTGACACTGTGCTGTTTCTCATCTCCCCCCCCCCCCCCCCCCCCCCCCCCCCCCCTCTCTCTCTCTCTCTCTCTCTCTCTCTCTCTCTCTCTCTTCTCTCTCCCTCTCCTCCTTCCACCTAAAACAAGGGCGATCGTGATGAAGGTGACCCCTTGCTCAGCTCCTCCTGTATGCCGTGGACATTTCTGAACCTTTTTCACTCTCAGCTCATTTCTTCCTTCAACCACCCTTTGAACCAGGGATGCTTATTTTCCCTACTTTGCAGATGCCACAGAGAGCTTTGGCACACCAGAGGGGACAGAGGGACAGTAGCTCAAAAGGAAATCCTAAGACGAAAGTGGGACTGTGTCCAGATTAGAGTAACCTAAGGTCACATCTGGCCATCCTAGGTGGTCTGCTACCATTCTTAACTCACTCGGGGCAAAGAAAGACCTCAGTCCCATTTTAAAGGTGGACACCCTGAGGTGGAGTGTAGGCAACTGCTCAGTTCATCTGGCTCTTGAATTAGGGAGTTCAAAGATGGTAGACTAGGTGAAAATATTTCAAAAAGCTTTGTGTGCTTATTGATGGTCAAGAGGGGTTCTTACCTGGGGGTACCCATTGGCCTTTTTGATACATAGAGAGCTTCTCCCAAATTTACTTGCCTAATGTATAAGACATGAAAAATTAGTGCCCAGGTGTGGCTTTTCAGAATACAATGTACACGAGCATAATTCGGCTGCTTTGCTCATGAGAGACCCTTTTGCTTATTTTCTCAATGACTTTTCAGGAGGATTCTTTACTCTGTAGCTTAGCTGGCAGGGGACTCTGTATCAACGCACTGATAAACATTATTTCCCGTCTTCTCTCTTTCAGTAAAGAATACCCCGTGGTTCCCAGGAGCACCGTGAGGCAGAAAGTGGCCTCCAACCACAGTCCCTTCAGCAGTGAACCTCGAGCTCTCTCCACCTCGTCCAACTTAGGGTCCCAGTACCAGTGTGAGAATGGGATCTCCGGCCCCTCCCAGGACCTTCTGCCCCCACCCAACCCATACCCACTGCCCCAGGAGCACAGCCAAATTTACCATTGCACCAAGAGGAAAGGTGAGCACAAAGCCCCCCCACCTTCGCCCCCCACCGCCGCTTCCTTCCTTTGGGGGGTTGGGTGGGGGTGGGAGCATGCATGGTAACACTGATTGATTAGAAAGGCGCAAGCAACACACAAATACATGTAGATGATCAGAAATTCAGATCATGCAAGTAAAACTAAAGGCTCCCTGGACCTGACTTTCTCCGTTCTAGCCCTTTCCTTGAAGAAGACGTATTTAAAATGTCCAGATCTATTTTATCCACATACTCAAGCTTACATGCATGACACACACACACACAGAGATAGATAGTCTTCAAAGGACACTTCCAACACAGGTGACATTAGAGTACATGTATTTTGTAACATCCATTTTAAAAAAAAAAAAAACCAAAAACCTTTAGGGTGTATGTGTATGGTGCTGGGGTGTGATCCAGGGCCTCATGCATGATAAGGACCTTCTCTGCCACTAAGCTGTGTCCTGGACCCTAGGTTGTGCTTCAGATACCCATTTGTGGTCCCAGACCCACCCATTCTTGCTAACTGCTGAAGAGGTGTGGTCTGCAAGGGCCAGCAGGGTTTGTGTGGCCCTCCCCACTGGTGGGCAGAGAGGTTGCTTCCGGTGTTCCTTGGATGGGTTCCCAGCTGTGCTCCCGGGGAACCTTCTAGAAGTTCTGTAGGCCTCCTCTGTGTCTCCCAGGTGGACTCTCTCTCTCTCACACACACACAGCCACAACTGACTTCAGCTGGTGTCTGAATCCCTCCGTGCTTTTCTTTGTCGTATGAGAAGTAATGGCTTCTCCCTGAGTCAGCTGAGACCACAAGGGCTCACCTACGAGCACCAACAAAGAAAATCTCTTGGGAGCCAGAATCAGAGTGGCCGACATAGGTAGCGTGGCCACATTGGGCTTCTGTACACATTGGCTCCGTGTAAGCTACAGACAGGTGCAGGCGGCCAAGCCAGAGAGACGCGGGTTCGAATCTCCCTTCTGCTCCTGGCTTCTTGTGTGACTTCAGGAAGGTGTCTGAACTTCCCTGAGCCTGAGTTTCCCACTTCGTGAAGGAGGAATAAGTCTCCCAGAGCACCCTGTAGATGGTGACCGTGATGAACTAAGGGCAGATGATCACCCCAGAAACTGAGTCCCAGGAGGAAGCCAAGAGATGGTGGCCCGCTGAGGTGACGGCGTGAGGGAAGGGTACACGGGACAGTGTACCCTAGGGCTTGCAACCTGTGGTCTTCAGAACCAATCGGGGTGAACCCCACATTTGGTATTTGGAAGTTTGTGTGCAGATGGACCTACTTAACCGCATCTCTTTAAAAAAAAAAGAGACCCTCTGCTGGAGCTCGTGGAAGGCCTTGTCGGATTGGCTTCGTATGAAGACATTGTAAAATCCTGCGTGTCTTGTGTGGGCTCACCGTCGGCCCAGGGAGTATCAGCCCTTTTGCTCTTCGTCCTTAGCAAGGCCTGTTTAACCCCAGAGCCTCAGTAGCCAACTTTGGAAGTCCAGCCACCAGGGCCTGAGCTTTTAGAAAAAAAAAAAAAAGCTCACCCATGAGCCCCGATAGAAATGGGTGCTTTGGCAGATGTCTGTCCCTGTAGCTGGGATTCTGTGAGGAAAGTACCAGGCTCTCTGGCATTCACCGTCTTGCATTTGGAAGGAGGGGAGAACAGCCATTGCTCCTCAAGTGGGGGCCTGGAGAGCTGACCTGGGGGAGGCCCGACTTCCTGATTTGCCTGAGTCCACCCACATCCTTGCAACTTGAAGGCCTGAACAGTACCACCCCAGCAGCCCCTGGCCCAACTCCCAGCACGTCGGCCACTGGATGCCCTGAAAACAGATGCCTGCAGATGCCTCTGCCTCTCAAGGCCCAGGGTGGGGCTTAGGAATATCCTCCGCAACTTGGGACCTGCACAGAGGTCCTGTCTGTGTTTTCCTGAAGGGCGTCCTCTCTTGATCCCAGGATAAGCCTTTGAACACTACTCTGTAGGTGCTGGGATTAGCTGGGAAGCGGAGGCTCGGGTCAGGAAGGTGGGGAGATGTGCCGGCCAGTTCCTGAAGGCAGAATTCGAACCCAGACCTGGACTGAAATCTGGAGCCTGTGTGCTTCACCCCGGCTCCCTCCTGTCTCTCTTCCCACTCCTCGTCGCGACACTCTCCAGATTTCCTCTTCTGCCCGAGGCCTGCTCTGGAGACTGGGTCCCACGGTGCGGATTCAAGCTCACCAGGTTTGAATTAGGGAGTTCTGTCCATTAAATGAATGCCAGTCCAGAGGAAGGGGAGGAAGAAGTTAAAAAGAACCAAGACCCATTTTATATTCAATATTTACAGCAGTGTCCTTATGAAGGCATCCTGGGGAGTAGAGCGAGAGCCTTTGAAAGCAAGGCCCGTGGCCCTCTTTGATTATGGGAGCATTTGATTTTCCTGGGGTATTTGCAGACGCCTCAGATAAAAGCTTCGCGTGGCCAGTTGGTTCATTGCAGAAATCATCGGAGTAGCTGACCCTTTGAAGCTGTGTGTCTGAGGGCAAGTGGCTTCCCCTTTCTGGGCCTGCGTGCAAGATGAGGATCGTGGAGGCACCCACCGTACGGGGGGGGGCCCTGTCCCAGAGTTCACGCCGGTACATGTGGCTTAAACACTATGCAAGTTATTATTGAATGAAAACTGCTGTCGGGTGCTCTCAAGGAGATGCCCTCGGTGCTAACGGATGTCAGATTGGAGCGTCATGCGGGGAGGGTGATCGGAGAGTGAGCCCCAAAGGGAGTGGGCTGCGCGCAGGTGAGGGGCTGTCCCTAGGTACTCCCCTTGGGCAGGAAGCCTGCCCTCTCTGGGGAGTGACCAAAAATCTGTGACTCTTGGAGAAAGTGGTAGGAAATGTCAAAGAGGAAGGGCAGGGACCGGCTCTGTGCCAGTGTCACCGGTCATTTGAATCAGGGGCTTCAGCTGCTCCCCTTGCCCGTGGGTGGGTAAGTGGCCCTCGAGAGCCGTGACTAGGGTTTTCTTTGCGTTCGGAAGCAGTCACTTTTCATTGACAAGAATTGATACCAGGGACCTGCGGCGGGCTCAGAGGCGTGAGATGGTGGCCCAGAGCAGGGTGTGGGAGAAGCTGGAGGTGTGGGTGGGATCAGGCCTCGGTGACTGGCTGCAGATAACGCGGTGAAGGATTGTCCCCTTTGCCCCGATTTGGAGATTTGGAATCTGGAGCTCAGAGAACTTGCCCCAGTCACCCAGCTAGTGAGGAGCCCAGCCTGTGATGCCCACCTAGGCCTGTGGACTTGGAATGTGCCCGGTGTGCACCTTGGAGGGGACCGGCACCTTTCTAGGAACCTCTGCCCTCTCACCTACCGCTCCCCCGAAGAGGGAGCTCCCGGTGACAGGGAACATTCCAGATGAACTCTGTCTGTCCTGCCTGGGAGACAACAAATAGCAATTCATCATCGGCTTCCACATGGGCCTGTGATAAGGAATCAGCCGAGGTTTCCTTCCAGTTTGGGATTCCCATTAAGTGATAGCTCCATGGGTGGCTCCTCGCCCCCGCTGGCCGCTATCTGACTTCCCCCCATTGTCTGTCTCCTCTCCAACCAGCCCAGGAGCCGGGCCCAGGGAGATGTCAAAGGGCCCGCCAGGCCAGAGGCCATCCTCGTGTGTGGACCCTGCTGTCTCCAAACTATCTCTCCCTGTGGGTTGAGTCAAAAAAAAGAAAGAAAGAAAGAAAAAGAAAAGAAAAGCCGGGAAGGTCCTTTATCAATGCCACTCAGACAAATCCAGGACCCGGGCCGGGGAGAGCCCTCGTCCTTCCCCCCCTCCCACCCTGATCCTCGGCCCCCTCCCATTAGCAACCCAACATGACCCTAATGAAGATCTTGGCACAGCTAATGACAGAAGAGGGTATTCAAAGGGTAGCCAGGGATTGAGAGATGGAGGGGAGCCGGATATTGGAGAGGGTTTTGCAGAGTCCCTTTTCCCAGTGGTGTGTGTTTTAAAAAGCATTTCCACACCCATTCCTTCAGGGGACCCTCGGAGCCAGAGGGGCCAAACAGAGGATAAGAGCCAGGGTTAGATTCTAGGGTCATGTGGTTGATGAGTGGTAGATCTGGGGCAGAAATTCATCAGACAAATATTTATTGAGCACTTGCTATGGACTGGGCACGGCGCTGGGTACTTGCGATAAGCCAAGGGCCAGGAGAAAGGGCCCCTGCTCTCAGGAAACTTGTATTCTCACTGGGGGAGAGAGTTACTAAGCCAGCAGATGAATTGAATGATTTCAGATGGTGACCAGGTGACAGTTGAACTTGAGTCTTTGGATCATTAGTTGAGGATTTTCCTGTAGTACCATTCTAGTCCTTTTCATTTTAACCCAAATGCTAAAAGCATGGGAAAACACACACACACACACACACACACAAATTCCTTCTTCCATCCATCCATCCACCTGTCCATCCATCCATCCCTGCCCACCCATCCATCTACCTGTCCATCCATCCACCTGTCCATCTATCCATCCACCCATCTACCCATCCATTCACCTGTCCATCCATCCATCCATCCATCCATTCATCCATCCATCCATCCATCCATCCATCCTCTGCCCACCCATCCATCTACCTGTCCATCCATTCATTTCTCTGTCCACTCATCCATCCACCTGTCCATCCATCCATCCATCCATCCATCCATTCATTCCTCTGTCCACTCATCCATCCACCTGTCCATCCATCCATCCATCCATCCATCCATCCATCCATCCATCCATCCATCCATTCATTCCTCTGTCCACTCATCCATCCACCTGCCCATCCATCCACTTGTCCATCCATCCATCTGTTCACCCACCACCTGCCCATCAGTCAGGGTTCAAGGTTGCTGCTGCTCACAGTTGGCAGAGCATGAAGACAGAAAGCCCCCACGTGTCAGGAAGAGCACTGTTCTGTGAGCCAGAAGTCTTGACTCATAGATGCCCTGAGGGCCAGACAAAGGTCTTTCAAGTGAATGAGCCCCATCAGGAAGGGGAATGCCCCAGTTGGACACTGCGACCAGATTCGCTCGTCGGGATTAGTGATTTAAAAAGCAGCTTTGTGAGTCTTCAGCTCTGGAACCTGCCCAGATACCTCCAGGTAGTGGCTGACCTTCAGAGAACCATCTGTCCAGCCTTCTGAGAGGGAAAAGAGGAAAAAGGCTCAAAAGTGGTTATTTGAACACACAAGAGATTTCAAAGCTCTCTGCTGACTTCTTGTGCAAGGAAGACAGAAACTACATTAGCCCAAGTATTTTTTTTTATATTTTTCTTAATTGTAGATGGACATGCAATATCTTTATTTTGTTTATTAATTTTTATGTGGTGCTGGGGATGGAACCCAGTGCCTCACACATGCTAGGCATGTGCTCTACCACTGAGCCACAGCATAGCCCAAGTATTATCTCAATTAAACCTCACAAGAGCAGGTATTATCCCATTTACAGTCAAGAACTGAAATTGGAATGGTCCAGTGGTTCAACCATGACCACATAGCCATGGTTCTGTGCCTTAAAATCTGTGTTCCGGATTCATAACTAAAGCCACTCTACCAAAACCATCTAGAAAATTCCAAAGAACTGGGTTTTTCACCATGCAATGCTGTACTGGATGGTCAGAACCAGAGAGAACTTCCCTGTTATCCAAGAGAGTCAGTTGGGGCCAGGGAGAGTTGCGATATAACTGACCACACAATATATATATTTTCTGGAGCTGAGCGGTAGCTTCACTTTGTCAGAAGACTCGGTGCTTGGTGACAGCTCAGTCCCCAACCCTGGAAGCCCAACAGGACTTGGCCAATAAGAAGAGAGGCACTAAACCATAACCCAAATAAACACAAGAGACTCTACCCATTTATCATCACTGACCTGAAATTTGGACCCTGGCTTTGGAATTTCTGTAAATTCTGATGAGGATGGAGAGGAATGGGGGGCGTGCCCGGGACCTGCTTTCATCAAGAAGCCAACCCAGTGTTCCTTAGGGCCCTGCATCGGATCACGGGGATATTAAAGACTGGAATGTATAATTTTACGATTTTCCAAAATGTGTTCCGGCCTTTTGCTTATGATCCCCATCCCCCCCCGCCCCTGTTTTTTTTTTTTCTTTTGACTTGTTATAAATCTGGAAAAGGATCAGAAACTCAAGATGGTTAGTTAGGCTTGGTTTTTTTTTTTTTTTCTCTTGCCAAGGGTACCCTGCAGCTGCACTTTCTATTATTGAAAAGGGGAACGCCCCGGCTTAGTGAGAAAAACCAAAGGTTATGGGCCCAGCAGCGATGGAAAAACATGCAGAATTTATGGATCTGGTGGGTGGAAGGAGGAAGGAGAGCAAGGGGGGGAGAGAAGGCAGGCGGGAGCAAGGACCCCAGCAAGCTGGGTGCCTCAGTGGCTTCGAGACTCCCAAAGAGCTCCAGGTTGAAAGGCGATGGATGTCATCTGGATGTCTTCAGACATCTGGGTGGTTGGCACCATACTGTCAGAGCACCTGGAAGAGTGACCGCATTTTTCTTTTTCTTTTCATTTTGTGCAATTTGTTGGGCACCCTATGGGTCCCAGATGTGTTCCAGAAAGACGTTAGCTGAAAAAATAAACCTGCTTGTCATTCAGCGGGTACAGACGACCCTATCTGTGGGTCTCACGTGGGGGGTCGTTGCAAATGGAGGCGTTCGGTGGAACCCAGGCCCGAGCTTCTCAACCTGGGGTTGGGGGCTGTTTTATGTACCTGTTCACAGCCCAGGGAGTTTCTGTCCAGTGAGTGACATTTGGAGTCCCAGAGGGCCAGGCCTCCCCACTCAACTCCTCCAGGAGGATGAGTGAGGCCAGGCGGGCATGTGCCCCCCGACCAGGATGGCATCTCCCCTCTCCAGAACCTGGCAGCCGACCTGGCACTTGGTAGGAGCTCAGTAAACATCTGTCGCCTGCCTGGGTGACCTGGAGGCAAGGTGTGTAGGCAGAGGAAGTCGGACCTGGCCTCTGCTCCTTCCCAGCTGGCTGACCTTGGACAGGTCCCTTCTCTGAGAGTCAGTGTCTGCCTCTGAGGAACAGGAATGACGCTGATGTGTTGAGGGGGGACTATGAGATGAGAATAGCTCTACCGTGAGGTTGACGGGCACATCACCCAGTGACCAGAGCTGCCCTTGATGATGCCCACCAGGGAAACCCATGCTCCCTCTTATTCATTCCTGATCACCCAGTGAGGTGAGGGTCACTGGTGCTCCCTCAGGAATGACAAGGGTCTGGGAGGTGGCCACCCTGCTAGGGTCACACAGGGACCAAGTACAAGAGTCAGAGGCAAGTCTGAGGCTCCTTCTCCTGGAGGCTGGTTGTAGGGGTCCTTGAACCTCCTGAGGTCATGTGCAGAACTCTGTGTCCCTTTCACTGTGTCATATTTCAGTGTATTTTTCTTGGAGACAGCCCGGCCTCGCATATTTTAAAATCGGTGCACTATAATGACACACGACCATGGGACAGTTGTGAATTTGTTGTGTACGCCCACTATATAATAATACTATTTGGTCTGTTTCATTCACCAGCGACCCTCCCCGCCTTCTTCCTCTGTCCTGTGATCTCTATTTGCAGGAGACCCCCCAAATACACACACAATTTCTTCCCTCTCACTTCCACACATGAGAGAAAACACATGGTCCTTAACTTTCCGGGTCTGCTTGTTTGTCTGACATAATGCTCCCAAGTGCCGTTCTAATCAAACTCCGTCGTGTGTGGAGAGCACATTTTCTCATCCAGTCATCTGTGGGCGGACACCCAGGCTGGTTCTGCAACTTTGCCATTGTGAACAGGGCTGCTTGGTGGTTGGCAGGCCTGCGTGGTGACAGTAGGCTGGCTTCTGTTCTTTAGGATGACACCCAGGAATGGCACAGCTAGCCCAGTGCTTTTGTTAGTTCCCAAAGGGGCCAATGGCCCGGAGTGGTTGGGGGAGACCCTCTTTCAGAGACAGAACTATCTCTGCCATCTAACACCAGGGACGGACTGGTGCATAGAGGAGGGAAGTGAGCTGTTTTGTAAAGACACAGCAGCACTTTAACTTGTACCAACTCAACAAATACTAACTGGGGACCTCCTTACATAGGGTGTCTGCAAAGGGAATTCATCAGGTACCCATCCTTTTATCCATTAGTCCATCCATCCCCTCATCCAACCATCTATCAGGCCATCTGCCCTTCCATCCATCCATCCATCTGTCTATCCATACATCTGTCCATTCATCCATCCACCCACCTACCCATCTATCCATCTACCCATCATCTGTCCAGTGACCCCTCAGTCTGTCCGTCCGTCCATCCATCCATCCATCCATCCACCCACCCATCCACCCACCCACCTATCCGTCCATCCATCTATCCATCCATCCCTCCATTCCTCTTCCATCCATCCATCTGTCCATCCATATGTCCAACCGTCCATCCATTCATCTACCCATCCATCTGTCCATTGATTCCTCAGTCTGCCCATCCATCCATCCATTCCTCTTCCATCCATCCATCTGTCCATCAATACGGCCATACGTCCATCCATTCATCTACCCATCCATCTGTCCATTGATTCCTCAGTCTGCCCATCCATCCATCCATCCATCCATCCATCCATCTGTCCATCCATATATCCATCTATTCATCCTCTCATCCATCTGTCCACTGACCCCTCAGTCTGTCCATCCATCCATCTATCCATCCATCCATCCATCCATCCATCCATCCATCCTTCTGTCTATCCATATGTCCCTACATCCTTTTATCCATGATCTATACCCATTCATCCATCCATCTACCCATCCATCTGTCCATTGACCCATCCATCCATCCATCCATCCATCCACTGCACAAATATTGACTGCATGTCTTCTTCATGGAGCAGGGACCAGGGACTTGGTAGTCAGATTGCTTTGGGTCTGGCACCATTTATCAGCCGTATGAGATCCTGAGAAATTTTTTAATCTCCATTTCTTTTCCATCATCTAAAGAGTAAGATTAATAGCGCAAGCACCTCACGGGTTATTGGGAGGATTAAATGGGTCACCTCCTGGAAGATGCTTAGGCAGAACGGGCACTGTATGTGTTCTTGTTATTACTGTTGATACTGTCGATGGCATTATTCCTGAGCGGGTATCCGTCTGGGCGCATGGTAATGGAGAGGTCAGACAATGTCCCATCTTTGTGGAGTTGACAGGCTGGGGAGGAGGGAAGAGGATAGTGACACTGTACTGAACATCTCCTCATGCCAATGCCTAACCCACATTTTCCCAAGGGTCCCCTCCGCCCCCTGCGTAGGAAGAGCTGCTTGTACCTTTCCATCTTCCAGATGCAGACACGGAGCTGAGAAGGGCCAGGCTGCTCACTTAGAGCGTCACAGCCGAGCGCTGGGCCAGCCAGCTCCCTCTTTTCATCAGAACGGAGGTTGGGGCTGACCTTCTCCAGTCCTGTGGCCAAGTGGCCGTCTCTGCTCCTGGCTGTCGGGCCGCTGGCCCCTGTCTCACAGGTCCCTGTCCCCCTCTCTCCGCAGATGAGGAATGCTCCACCGCAGACCACCCCTACAAGAAGCCCTACATGGAGACACCCCCCAGTGAAGAGGACCCCTTCTACCGCCCCAGCTACCCGCAGCAGCAGGGCCTGAGCGCCTCCTACAGGACAGAGTCGGCCCAGCGACAGGCCTGCATGTACGCCAGCTCCGCGCCGCCCAGCGAGCCCGTGCCCAGCCTGGAGGACATCAGCTGCAACACGTGGCCCAGCATGCCCTCCTACAGCAGCTGCACGGTCACCACGGTGCAGCCCATGGACAGAATCCCCTACCAGCATTTCTCCGCTCACTTCACCTCGGGGCCCCTTGTCCCCAGGCTAGCCGGCATGGCCAACCACGGCTCCCCGCAGCTCAGAGAGGGGATGTTTCAGCACCAGACCTCCGTGGCCCACCAGCCTGTGGTCAGGCAGTGTGGGCCTCAGACTGGCCTCCAGTCCCCCGGTAGCCTGCAGCCCCCTGAGTTCCTGTACTCTCACGGGGTGCCCAGGACCCTGTCCCCCCAGCACTACCACTCCGTGCACGGGGTCGGCATGGTGCCAGAGTGGAGCGAGAACAGCTGAAGCCGGGTGGCCCTGCCGCAGGCATTTGCTGAGAGAGAGGAGAGGGGCGAGGGAGAGAGATGGGCGCAAGGAGGACCCCCCCCACCCCCCACGAGTTTTCCACTCTGCATCCGCGCACTCGAGGCCCCCCGGGCGCTGATCTGATCAGTAGCTTGCAAACCAACCACCATCCAAAAAAAAAAAAAAAAAAAAAGAAATCTGACTCTCGTTTTGATTCCAAACTTCAAAAACCAAGAGAAGAGGCGTCGCATGCACGCAGGACTCCTGCTCCTCACCAGCCGCCTGGGCCCCCTCTTGTCTCCCGATGCCTTCTTTTGGGTTCCAGAACATCCTGCTCAGTGAGTGTCTCATCCTGGTGGATTTGGGAACCTCGCGCTGTCTCGGTGTTAATGTCGACTTTGTTATATAATAAATAATAATATATTTTTTTTCTTCTGATTTTCTTAACGGGACCCAGTCCCTTATTGGAGGGAGATTCCAAATAGACACTTGCGGGATTCCCTGGGCAAAAACCAGCCCTAAAACTTAACATTGGCCTTCCTCTTCTGTCTGAGAGAAGCACCTACCTCTGCCGCGTGATGTCTCCCAGAAGGTCCCCACGTCCCCGGCTGGTTTCCCATTGGTCTCTGCCTCTGCCAGTTCGCTGGTGCCCAATTTTGCCTTTGACTTGCACAGATGGACTTGGGATCAGGCCGATCTCCGCCCCACCGACCCCCAGCTCCGGGTCTCTCCCGCCATCTGTCGCTAAAAAAGTCGCCTATAGTTTCCCCGTCCGGAAATCTTGCTTTGAAAAAAAAAAAAAAAACTTAAAAAAGCCCTGGTTGACCTGCGGGCAGGACTCTGATAAGCAGAGAGCAAGCTCTGTGCCGACAAGAAAAAAAAAAAAAAAAAAACATAAATATTCTTTGCGATTAAAACAAACAAAGCCAGTCCCAGGCGTCCTGCCCACCCACGGGATGCAAAGCAGAATCTTCAGGTCCTCAAGAGGCAACATCTGCTCACCGTTGAGCTCCAAAGAATCCGCACCAGCACCAAAGGCCGACACTCAATTGTGTGTATCGACAGCAGAAAACAGTATTAAAAAAAATGTGTGTGTAAGTAAGACGTTATTGTAGGGGTCCCCAGATGTAATATTTTACTGGTACTATTTATTTATAAATAGGAATTCTAATTAAGTAATAACAGGAAATCCAGCATGGGAGCTGACCAAGAGCTTTTAATTTTATTGATACTCAAAAACCAAGTTTGTGTTTTTTTTATTTTTCCCCCCTTTTTTTCTTCTGAATGATCTTTGCTTTCTCGATTTTGAAAAAAAGAAGAAAAAAAAAACTTTTTTTTTTTTAACTGACCCTAATAAAGAGAACAGGGTAATATGTGAGACTGAGTATGTCCCAGGTCATGAGAGCTTGGGTGTGTTTGTACGTGAGTGTCTCTGCGATTTCATCTTTCTATGTGGCTGAGGGAGGGAGGGGAGAATAAGTACTTGTTCCTTATATTTGTGTGCCAATTAAGCCTAATAAATGCTATGTGCTTAAGGAAGTACAAGGGACTTGGAGCACCCTCTTCTTTCTGCTACTGGGTAGAGGGGACAATAAGTATGTCACTTCCCCCCTGGAAACAAGAACAATTGGCTTGCTGGTTACAAAGTATCTATTTAATGCTTCCCCACCTCCTCAGAAAAACAAACCTGGGAGCTTTCCTAGGCCAGGAGCTACTGAGAAATGTGAATTAATTATAAGGAAATGACAATCAAGCTTCTCTAACATGCAATGGAGAAACTAGGTCAATGGCTTTTCTGTCCCCAAGGGACAGAATGAGTACAGTTGTACTGGGTAGGTTCTGACCCGACTCTAAATAGATATTTAATTCTGATGGGTTTAATTTTTTTTTTTAAAGTTTGCCTTGGAAGAAATGGCCTTCCAAACTAATTTTACCAACTGTACAGTCAGTCAGTCAGTCTTATTTTATTTCTGAAGAAAACCATCTGAAGACAAGATGGATTATTTCTTATTTCAGAGTGCTTGGGACCAGATTTGGGAATTTTTATTTTTAGTTTTCAATTTTGAAGTATCTGCCCACATACAATGAGGTGGGAAGCAAGTCCAGACTAAGCATGACATTCATTTATGTTTTATTTATGCCTTATCCGCAGCTAATTGTACACAGTAGTTGTAGGGCACTTGCACGCCGTCGGTGGGGTTAGTGTAGAATTTTCCATTTGTGGTGGTAAGTCCGTATTCAGAAAGTTTCCGATTCGGGAGCTTTTGGATTTCAGACTTTTGGATGAAGGATGCTCCGTCTGCGCAGAAGAGAACCACCCACCACACTCCTCAGAGTCTTGCCACTGTTAAAAAAAAATCATTAAGAACAGGTCCACAGCAGGTTTCATAAATCACACAAGGAACACCGTATCCAAGACCTTTGCAGGTTGACCTCTCTGGGTTCCACACCATAGTTCTAGTGGATCTTCTCACTGCGTGGGTAGGATTGAGGGTGGAGTACCCCTATATCCGTGAAGTTTCATCCTTGTGTTGATGTCAAGAGGCGCACAGATATCATTATGTTCCTTTAATGTATTTAGGGGGTGCTCGCTCTGGCCTGGGCACATGGTGGGTACTGGGAACATAAAGATGAACAGGGTGATAGGGGCCCTGTCCTCTGGGGCTTGTGGTTTAGTGAGAGAAACTGCCCTTGAGCAATGGTCTCTACTATCCATGAATTGTAGTGTCTGAAAGAACTGCTGGGTGCTGTATCCCCAGGGCCATCAAAGGGAAGACAGGGCCCTAACACAGTCTGGGTAAGGTGACTTTTGTGCTGAGCCCTAGTGAGAAGTAGCAATGATCCAGGTAAGAATTTGGGAGGAGAAGCATTTCAGGCAGAGGAAATCATTCATGCAAAGGCCCTGAGGCAGAAATTGTGGTAGAAAATGGAGATGTAGGTTAATATGTGGGTAGAAATCACCGAGTCCACATTGGCTCATTTGTTCAACAAACATATATTAAGGTCCTGTCATATATGGTAGAGACCCTGTCTTTTCGAGGATCTGCTAATTGTGTTAGGTTCTTTTCTAGTTAGTCCCCAGAGCTGCCAAGAACAGGTTCTGGTTATGAAATGTTAGGCTTCTTTGAAGCTAGAAATATTATAGCATCTGTTCTAGCTTCTTGGTCCACTTGAGTGTGGGACTTAAAATTATGAAATAGAGAGGAACTTTCTAAGTCAGATTGTTGATATTCTTGAGTTCAGAGAGGGTAGGAGTCTTCTGCAGAGCACACAGCAGAGCTCAGCTTGGAACCTAAATTTATGCAAGACTTGACTTCCTCCTTTATTAAGAGGAGGTATTCTACCTGACTCAAAGGGCTACTGTGAATTAAAGTGAAATAACGTCTGTGAAAACGCCCAGGAAGGTATTTAACACAGTAAATACTCAATAAGTGTTTGAAAAGAAAGACAAAAAGCATTTTTTATCCATGGACTTCATAAATATATATTTTTATAAACAGTGATGCCTATTGCTAATGAGAAAACAGGAAATCTCAGAAACTGCTGGTTGGAATGAAAGTAAGATAAACATGCTGGGTGCCGTGGTGGATGCCTGTAATCCCTGCGGCTCAGGAGGCTGGGGCAGGAGGATCAAGAGTTCAAAGTCAGCTTCAGCAACTTAGTGAGGCCCTAAGCAGCTCAGTGAGACCCTGTCTCCAAACAAAGGATAAAAGGGGCTGGGGTGTGGCTCAGTAGTTAAGTGTCCCTGGGTTCAATCCCCAGTACAAAAAAAAAAAAAAAAAAAAACAACAACAAAAAAACAAAGAGATAAACATTTTGAGAGGAGGCTTGGGAAAATATGCCAAAAGTTTCAACAAGTTTGCTAATGATTGAATCTGATAAGTCTGCTTTGAGGAATGGATCCTAGGGATATACTCAGAGATGTGTACAAATACTTTCTGGAAATATCAACATAAATTTTAATCTGTGCAAAATTGGAGGGAGCCCTAATCTCCACTAATACGAGGCCAGTAGGTTAGTACGTGACCATCTAATGGAATGTTGCATAGCAGTAAAAACATACTTGCAAAGAATATTTAAAGAAGGCATCGAGTCGCGTGGTGAGGGGAAGCAGCAGCTCCGGCCATCACTGACTCCTGCCCAGGAGAGAGACCCCAGCAGCAGCAGGAGGTGGGGGTTGCGGGTGGCTTAAGTTCTCTTTCTGCTTTGGGTGGTTTCCCCTTCCTTCCTTCCTTCCTTCCTTCCTTCCTTCCTTCCTTCCTTCCTCCCTCCCTCCCTCCCTCCCTTCCTTCCTTTTCTTTCTTTTTCATGAAGATGGATCATCTTTGTTCTAAGGAATAGATTTAGTAAAATACCATCTAGCTTGTGTTTTGGTCATTGACCCCGTGACTCGGTAGAGAAGGTGGGACACTTCTGTCTACATGGAACGTGAAGGGACGGAGGTCCATCATGGGTGGGCGTGTCCTGGGCAGGCACAGAGCTGGCCCCAGTGCCAGTTGGCCGGCTGCTAGTCACAGAATGTCCTGCCTCAGTAACAAGGGGACGCCTGGGTATCTTGGTCCCTGCTTCCTGGGCTGCTGCTTGCTGCTCTGGCCGGTGACGCTGCCGCTCCCGTGCACCGTGGATTCCTTGTTAGTAAATGCAACACACACTCACAAGCACACTCACACACTCACACACACTCTCACACACACTCACATGCACACACACACACACTCTTACACTCACATACACACACATACACACTCACAAACACTCTCACACTTATACTTACACACACACTCGCATACACTCTCATACACTCTCACATACACACTCACAAACACACTCACACACTCATACACTCACATACACACTCACACTCACACTCAGACACTCATATACACACTCACAAACACACACACTCACAAACACACACTCACATACACACTCACAAACACACACTCACACACACTCACACTCACATACACTCTCACACTCACAGACACTCATATACACACTCACAAACACACTCACACACTCTCACACTCACATACACATACGCACACACATACACTCACACACACTCACACTCACATACAGCCTGACCTCAGCCACAGCCCAGCACACACATACTCACACTTACACACACTCACACTCACACACACACGAGCGAATGCACATGCAGTCAGGCACTCATCGATCTCTCCTTTATCCTCTGCTCTGGGTTATTGAATTCACGTGGCCACTTTTTCCCTGTGACCTTGGGAAAGTTACCCAACCTCTTGGACCTTCCCTTTAATCACGTGTGGAAGGCGATCCTTGAGTCCTCATCCCAGAGGGCTCTGGGTATGGTGAGGTCCCGTGAGAACATGAGCACAGAGTGCTTCACACGGAGGCTGGGCTTGGAGAAAGTGCTCATGCTTGTTGGCCAATAAAAAGATGAGCTAGCACTCCTTCTTCTGGTCCTTCCCTCTTCCTCCTTCTCCTTCTGGGAAACTTGACCCTATGATCTTGTTTACATTTTATAGTCTTAGCTCAGTGGGAGTCAGGAAAACATCACCTTCTCCACCATCACACCATCATAACCATCACCACCACCATCACCACACAACCACCACCACCATCATAACCATCATCATAACCATCACCACCGTCACCACCATCATAACCTGTTGAGAGCCACAGCCAAGTTGGGATGACGCATGGCATTTTTGCCAGAAGTAGTGGTTGAGAGGTGACGCCAGCAAGCCATTAAGATGATGACTTTTGAGTTCTTGCGGAGTTCCCGTTGAGTTCCGGTTGAGCTCTCACAGGGATTCCTGAAGAGTTCGCGTTGGTTGGTGAAGTTCCGGTGGTGGGAGTTCCGGTTGGTGTGGTGTATTCCTGGAGGAGCGGCGTGGGTGGCGTTCGGGAGAGTTCCCGGGGAGTGTACTGGTGGAGTTTGGAAATAAAGTTTGTTCCTGCTTGAGTGGCTCGTGATTTGTGCCCAGCCAGACTACAGAAATAACCATCCCCACTACCATCGCCATCACCACCACCATCATCACCATCACTATCACCCCTATCATAACCATCACTTCCATTATCACCACACCACCATCACCATCATCACCACCATCATCATAACCACTATCATAACCACCACCATCACCATCATCACCATCACTATCACTTACCATCATCACCATCACCATCACCATCATCATCGTCACCACCACCATCACCATCATCACCACCATCACCATAACCACTATCATAACCACCACCATCATCATCACCATCACTATCACTTACCATCATCACCATCACCATCACCACCATCACCATCACCACCACCATCACCATCATCACCACCACCACCATCACCATCACCACCACCATCACCATCATCACCACCATCACCACCATCACCACCACCACCACCACCATCACCATCACCACCACCATCACCATCATCACCACCATCACCACCACCACCACCACCATCACCATCACCATCATCACCATCACCATCACCACCATCACCATCACCACCACCATCACCGTCATCACCACCA